CGGCAGCGCCTGGCGGGTTTCCCCGCGGAGATGCGCGACTGACGCTGCCCCTGATCTTCGGCACCCAGGTACCCCTCGACATAGCTCCTTCATCGGACCTCCTGGAACGAGCCGCCACAGGCGAAGCTGGCGCAGGTGCATACCCACTGCGCTCGAAAGCTGCCGCCCTTTTCGCAATGGAATTGCTGCGACTAAGCGGGCGTCTTCGTTCCTCCATAGGGTCCTGAGGTTGCTGCTTGGGCACAGACGCTTGTGGAGGAGTTGCGCCAATCGGCGGCTTCGGCGTCGCAGATCGAGGCACCTCCATATGCGCGTCTGGCCCAGGGTCCTGAGGGCTCGTCTTCGGTTTCGGCACCGGGGACGGCTTAGGTGTCGGGGGTTCACTCTTGGCCATTGAAGTTAGTGGGAGTGGGGGCCTTGTAGCCCTCTTCATGTAGATCTTACTAGAATCTTCCAACATCTTGCGAGTTGCCTCGCGAGTGCGGTCTTCTGCTGTCCGCATACGCTCCTCATCCTCCGCCACACGTTGAGCCTTTATCTCATCCTTGATTGTCGGTTCTGGTTGTTGGGACTGGCTAGAGACGCCACGCGAGTTTCCTCGCATGCTAGGAAGACTGAAGAGCGCGTCTTTCTCTTCCTGGGTCATGGCTACCAGTCCCCTTGGAACCGGGGTAGGCTTTTCTTCTTCTTTCGGATCCAAGTGGCCCAAGATCCCGAGACGATGATTCACTTCCGCGATCTCGTCTTGCGCCATCGGGATAAGTGGCGGATGGCCCTCTTTAGGAGGGGTTTTGCCCCTGTTGGGACTCAGGCCTTCGTTGTTGCCAACGGGGCATCCTGGCCTGTGATTCTGGAACGGCTGGGAACAAGGTCCGCATGCTGCGTGAGGCCTATACTGCTTGCGCGCCGCGATAATATCTCGTAACTGAGTCCGCACTTCTTGAATTTCAGGGCGGCGGATGTTTGTTGCAAGCTGATAGCCTCCGCGGATGGGCTTGCCATCACTGTCCCTATAGGCAGGGTTGCCCTGGCCAAAGGCCGAGTGTTCCCCTTTTCGGCGTCTTGGGTCGTTGTACGGAAGTAGCTGGCCACCTCTCCTGAGAGCGTGTTCTTTTGGGCCAGCCTGTCTCCACTCACGAGGAAGTCGAGCCTGGGGATGTGGCTCTTCTCTGACGCGCGTATGGGAACGAGATCTTCTGGTGTTCTCATCAGAGGAAGCTGCCGATGCAGCAGGAGCGGCACCCGGTGGAGGTGCCTGAGGAGGCTCCTGTGCGATCCCAGATGGATCGTCCGATGGAGGCAGGTCTCCCTGCTGGGTGGAGCTCGGCGCAAGTGGCGCTTGTGCCGATGGTGATGATGATTCAGACTCATCAGGGTCGAAATCGACCTCTTCCTCACCATTCACGTCCATCATGAGGATGGTGACATCATCCTCATCTAACCCGCAGCCATCGCCATCTACTTCTTCTGATGTCGAACTACCAATGATGATGGCCATTGGCGTATCTGGTACAGGCAGGTTTCCCTGCATAGCCGGCGTCTGGGCGTCGCTCGGCTGTCCCGGAGTAGGAGGCATTGTTGTCGGCTCAGGCTCGTCGCCGAGCATAGGCTGCCCAGCAATGTTACGCATGGCCGTATGGTTCGGCCTCATTCCCACCGCCTGGAGACCCCATCCTGGCGGAGGAAGATCATGACCGCGCATAGCCATCGCCATTTCCAGAGCACGACGCCATCTACCACGGGAGTATATCAAGTGTCTCTGCACTTCCTGAGGATACACGCTGTCAATGAGAGTCAGAGCTGCCAAAAGTAGCTCTGAACTACCGCAAGCATCATTATCCTGTTCTGTCATGATGCCAGCTTCGATGTGTTCTTGACTCTCAGGATAACCAATTGTAAGTATCTCATGCATCCTCATGAGGGTCTGCAAAAGGGTACGTGGTCCATATTCGCCTGGAGCAAGCGAACCAGGAGGTATGAACGGAATATCTGGTTCGCCTGCAATGAAGGCCTGAACAAATGCCTGAGACTCCATTTCAATTAAGTCTTCAGTGGTCTGGGGATATTCTCCCATCAAAGAAGGCCTGTTTCCAGGCGGGATTTCGGGCTGGAGGTTCAAGGTTTCGTTGAACCTCGGAAGGCGAAGCCTCTATAGTGGTGTCCTCGTCGTCACTCTCGTAAGCCATGATGTTGCCTGGGTTCCCGAACATCCAGTCGAAGAATGAAAGAGGCTCGTTTCCAAGCGTACCGTGTTCCACGGGAGTGAGTTCGTTACTGCCCGTGACGAACCGGCGGACGTACTCGAGGTAGTACGCGTACAATCCATGACCATACCCCTCGAGCTCGTCGATGTTGTCCATGCCAACTACCCAAGTGAAAAATATCTGTTCCATAGCCTCAAAGTCCTGGAGGCTCAGATATTCAATGGATGGTGCACTTGAGCCAAAATGGACTTCGGACGACATGCCCTTTCCATTTCCCTTCGCTGGACAATCTCGCACAAGATGATCGGAACTACCACATTCATGGCATTTGAGAACCTGGCCGTCTCTACCTCGCGGGTTTCCCCGCCTACCTTTACCTTTACCTGAGGTCTCTCTACGGCCTTTACCACGGCCTTTTCCCCCAAAGAATATCTCATCATGTTGTTCATCTGAGAGCCTCTGGAGAAATGCCGCGATACCTCGCCCGTTCAACCTCCGACGACCACGCTTGCCTTTACCCTTTCCTTTAAAACTTCTGCGTATCCTCCTTCTAACACGACGCACTGGTTTTCGTGTGAACCTCCTCCACCTTCGTTTGGCCTGTTGTAACAGCCAGAATAAATGCTCAGCACGCTGATTGTCGTTATCCATATTCATGATATCTGACCAATCTAGAGCTTCAACACCATCTGATGATATAGTGTCTGTATCGGTGCCGGAGTCGAAGTCTTCGTCTCCTAAATAGGTGGATACACCGTCGGTTAGGGGATTTGATTCCCCCCATAACGAGCGGTGTGGTTGTGGTTCTCTAGAAGGAGGGCTGGTTGCCCAGCTTGGTTGTGATCGATCCCCTGCTAATAAAGCAGTGGATTCTCCTGGGTCATCGGCCCATATGCTTGAGGGCCCGTTTCCAGGCTGGGCTTCAGTGGTCAAGGTAGTGTAGAAATTTCCACTACCAGATCCCCTTCCCCTTCCAAACACAGATCCTATGTTACCAGGAGACCGTTCGGATAGGTGGCCTATCGAACGCATCCTCTCCAGCAACTCATCATACTGTTGTTGTGTTCGAGGCATTTGGTGGTTGAGTGGCTGTAAGAGTTGCATGGCTTTCTGGTTGCCGACGCCTAAGGCGCGGAATAGGATAGTGGTTAGCAGTTGGAAGTTAGGAAGGTCGAATCCCACCGACTGTGCCTCAAGTCGGGCCATTTCGAATCGGGTAAGAGTGACATCGATTCGTTCCCCGTGAGGCACATGGAAGTCGATGAGTTGTGTGCCGGAAGTGAGCTGTCGCTCATCTTCCAGGCGTTCGAACTTCATGCTGAGGAGGAACATGATGTAAGTTACTGGGTCTGTGTGGACCCCATCAATGTCAGCACCATAGTTTATAATGTCAGGCGGTACCCTCATGGCGAGTGTCCTCGCTAGGCCACCTAGGCCGCGTTGTATTGCGGCCGCTTGGGCCTGTGGCGTCATACGTCCGCTTGTAACGTTGAGCCATGCGTTGACCTCGTAGATGTACTCACGAAAAGGTACATTACCTTGAGGGTCCCAATATGGGCCATGTGTTTGCCCATCGGTGCCGTTATCTCCACGACGCATGTGTCCGATTGCTGCCCCCAGCGCGAACCATATGATAGCGAAAACGATTAGCCCGAGAATGTGTAACGAAGGACGGTTATGATGCGCGTTGCTGCGCTGGGGTAGCGCCTTGTCGAGTCTTCGAGGCGCTCTGTCTGGCGGGTCTCCCCGCCCTTGCTTCAAGTATTGCGCCTGTTGGCTCGTTGCCGAGCGGTTGGTAGTAACGCAATGATGAAGCGTATATGGTACCGGTTTGGTCGTCTAGACGTCGTACCTCTCGTGTGGCTTCTTGCTCTTGAATAGATCCTCGTAAACGTACTGGGAGTGGTGGCGCAGGGTGGTAGGTGGTCACGAAGATCGTGCCGAAGAATATGAGGCTAAGAAGAGCAAGAGCTGACCACACGAGAGTGCGGCCAGCTCCGCTACCAAGTCGAAAGTGAGCCTGGTAACTCAAATAGGGCATATAGCCTGGCAAATTGCATCCATGGCTCTGCTGTGAAGATACAGTATGAGGGGTGGATGGGTAAGATAGGATAAGATCGATGTAATGATCTTTCCAACACATAGCGAACTCTCGCGGTGTCCGGGCAAATAGGGCGCGCGTGCCTTGAGCCCAAGGCAGCGGCGCGCGAGCTATGCTCCCGATACTGTAACATCTCCCAAAGAGCTACCCTTAAAGTGATTATACTTGTGTCACGCTCGGAAGGTCTTCGATCTTCTGTTCGCCCGAACGTTCCTTCTTGAGATCCCATGCTCTGCGAAGCGAACGGCTGTGCCGTCGTTTCGGCTGATAACCAGTCTTTTGCCTGGATATTCATCATCCCTGCAATATGTCCCGATGAGATCCCATGGTCACTGGGCTCCGCAGATGACATGGGTATGAAGGGATAATGCCGCCCAACACACACGAATGTAACCCAGAAAGGAGGAGGCCGGCCCGCCGGCCGACGCACGCGCGCGCGCCGCAGGCTCGCTCCTTTTCCGTTCCCTTAGGGCCAAAGTATATAGCTGCGCGAGCAGAAAAAATCAGCAAAACAGGCGGGCAGCGCGTGCAAGGAGAGAGAGCAGGCAGGGCAAAATTATGGTGGTGCGGATAGGGTGCAGTGACTGCTCTGGGCTGAGCAAGCGTGACCTCTGGTGCGCGGCTTCGGGGGCCGCTGGGAGGACCCGTGTGTGAGAGGGGGCGGTAGGGAGGAGACCGACTCAGGAGGGGAAGACATTGAACATGGATCGGAGATGCATCGCCGATTGATTGGCGAACTACTCGCAAATGGCCTGGACCCCCCACTTTGCGAGCAGTGGAGCGCGCTCGGTGATGTGGGCCCTCCAGAGGGCTCACTGCAACGCAGGGCCGCTCTCACGCGCAGCCGAGCCGATCCCTCCTCCAAAACCTGCCGCGGGCGGCGGGGCCCACGGCTCACTCCGGGTTCGCCGCGGCGCGGATGGCCTCCATGTCCTGCTGCACCCTCCAGTGGCCGGAGATGCCCGAGCGGCCCGCGTCGTAGAACGCCTCTGGGAGGAGAAGCAAGCATGCCATGAACATGAACTCTTGGCGCTCCGCCCGGATTTCTTGGATCCGCGCCGGACCCCTCTCCCTGGCGCGCGGAGCGCCAAAAGTTTATGTTTATGGCGTTTTTTCTTCTTCGAGCCTTGTGCTCCCTGGAGCCCGACTTGTAGTAGAGCACCTCCGTGGCGTACATGTCCTCGTCGGTCTGGCGGATGTACTGGTACATCAGGAGAGGCGGCAGGCACGGCCACACCACGGTGCGGCAGAGCGTGCCAAGCTTGATGACGTTGCAGAAGCCCTGCGCGCCCGCCTGGGCGGAGGAGCGAGAGTGACGACGACGATCCTCGCCGATCCTGGACGATCCTGGACGACGACCACGACGACGACCACGACGACGACGACGACGACGACGACGACGACGACGACGACGACGACGACGACGACAACGATCCTCGACGACGACGACGATCCTCGACGCTCGAGCAGGCAATTTCGCAGGAAGCCATTGGGACGGTGCTAAAGCCCTTTTCGCTGGCGCGCGAGGTGCACCAGGAACGGCGCCGCAGGCGCCGTGAGGGTTGTCCAGCGCCGGGCCTGGACCAGGCCTCCGACAACTATTGTCTGTGCAGGGCTTTGTTTGTTGCTCGATCGCCTGACGCATTGCTACTCGGTCTACTCACAAACACTACCGTTCCCCTGTGCCATCATGTCTCCCCCCGCTACTCGCTCTCTCTCTCTCTCTCTCTCTCTCCCTCTCGCTCGGGAGAGCAGCCCTGTTTAAATACATGATCTATGTGCGTACAGGTATATTGCTCCCCAGACTGGGGCCTCCGTCTGACGATTGCAGATTGGAGCTCTCGGCGGAAGTATGCCCTGGATTGTCCAAAAAAAGAAGATTGACAGACTCCTTGGATAGTAGGCATCCCTTTGCATATTGAAGATCTCTGCGAACTTACGTCAAGGATTCTTAAAACAGGCGATTGGCAGACTGCTTGAAGATTCGCGGGCAGAAGTACCCTGAGATATGAGATATTCAACCTTCAGTCTTCCAAGCATGATCCAGGCTCCGAAGTGAACGCCGATGAACGTCAAGACTGGTCTCCCAAGAAGGAGAGAGAGAGAGAGAGTGAGAGAGAAAAAAAAAAGAGAGAGAGAGAGAGAAAGAGAGAGAAAGAGAGAGAGAGAGAACGAGAGAGAGAGAGAGACGCAAAGAAAGAGACAGAGAGAGAGAGAGATTGGCAGCCTGCCGCAAGCATCGCGAGCATAAATCCCCTGAGATCTGATATCTTCAATATTCAACCGGATGCTACAGGCTACATACACAAAGTACATAGTAAGCATCGCGTATGCTCTCCCTTGGGCCCGTTCGAAGATCTCGCGCAAAGACTGGCCTGAGAGGGCGGGCCCATAATCAAAACAGGAGGAAGAGGAAGGGAGGAGAAGGACGACGAAGAGGAAGAAGAGGAAGAGGAAGAGGAGGATGATTAAGATGATGATGATGATGAGGAGGAGGAGGAGGAGGAAGAATAGGAAGAGGAGGAAGAGGATGTTGATGCTAACGATGGCAAAACCGAAACTGCGACCGCGCGGGGAAACAGACGCAACCGTGACGGTTAGAACCATCGTCGCCAGCCACCAACACCGATCCTTCGATGACCTGCATCTCGATCCGATCGCTCTCGGTCAGGTGTGGCCGCAGGCAAACGATATGGCTTGGCCGCTAGGTTTACCTTTTTTTCCCGTCGGCCCCCGTGGAAGCTCATGGGTGTACGCACCCCGACGCCGCTCCTCCTGACTTTGCGGCATGCGTCTTCCCCTGCTGAGCCGATGTGGCTCCGGAGCCCAACTCCAAAACGTGCGATCTCCCGGAGCGCTGCACTTTGCTCCCGCCGTCCTTCCGCCGGCTTCCGCCAGCGAGCCCGCACCCGTGTTGCCTCCGCTGCCCTCCGCCGGCCGGCCCTCCGCCGTCCGCCGAGGAGATGCCAACTCAGGGCAACGAGCAGAGACACAAAGAGAATGAAGATCTCGGAGGTCCGCGCGGATGTCCCGGATGGGCGCTGGACCCCCCCCCCCCTGGCGCGCTGGGGACCCCTGGCGGCGCCTCTGGCGCCGCCCCTGGCCCGCTCCGCGCGCCAAGGAGGGGGGTCCAGCGCCCATCCGGGACATCCGCGCGGACCTCCGAGATCTTCATTCTCTTTGTGTCTCTGCTCGTTGCCCTACAACTGTCAGGTCCTCGAAGGCGAGGCCCTTTCGGTGCGTGGGCCCCGAAGGTCTGGACCACTTCTTTAGGGCCCGCTTTTCGTCCGGAGACGCTTTGTCAAGCTCCCGAGGCCCGGCGAGGGCCCCTGGAGTCCGAAAACGGACAAAAACCGCCCGCTCCAATTTTGGTCTGGAGCGGCGGATCCCAGGGGATGCCAACTGTCAGGTCCTCGAAGGCGAAGCCCTTTCGTGCGACGTGGCTTGCGCGCGAACGACTCCTGGTGTTTTTTCGGACCACAGCTCGGGCATCCGGCCGCCGTGCGGGACAACTCGCGCACCACCAGAACGCTCTCGGCAAAGCGCAGCTGCTGGAAGATATCCCGACCCTGAGATCCGACGCTCCTGAAAAAATTGGAACAGGCGGTTTTTGTCCGTTTTCGGCCTCTGGGGGCCCTCGCAGGGCCTCGGGAGCGTGACAAAAACGACTCGAGACGAAAAACGGACACTAAAGAAGTGGTCCAGAACTCCGGGGTCCACGCACCCAAAAAAGTTCAGCAGCTGAAGCGAGCGCGCGAGCGAGCGAGCGAGCGAACGAGCGATTGCCTGCGGCGCCGTGACGAACTTGTGCGCGAGGCCGACGAGCTGTCCGGCGTACGACATGGCGGCGAGGCCACCGCGAGGGATGGGCGGGTCGGCTGCGGGCAGGGGGTCGGCTGCGGGCAGGGGGCCGGCTGCGGGCCGGCTGCCGGGCTACGAGCACGGTGTCGCGCGTGAGCCCAAGTGGCT